ATGAGAGTAATCGTCACTGCGCGTTTGCTCACACCGTGGAAGGGTTCTTCTAAAGGTACCTGAAAAGGGAATTGGCTTAGAGTCGGTCTTAGTGACACAAGAGCGTGATCGCAGTGCCCAAGGGACAACTGCTTGAGGTCGGTCACACACGACCTTTTTGTGAGTAGTTCTCGTGTTAGCTCCATACTTGTTTGAATCTTACCGCCGGAGACGGAAATCCGTTGGATAAGGCAAGATGTGCATTTTTAGAGTCGACCTTTTCTAATCCCATCCTTTCTTGTGGGAAGACAGCATCGCTGTTAGGCTGCTTGTCTGAGGGAAACACCTTACTGCGGTCACACGTCTGTACAGTCAGCAGACCTTGAGTTTGTTGCTTTTAGTCTTACGGCTCTTCAACCGACCTGCCTGACATGATGGGACCTTGAGGAACGATTGTTCCAGCCAGTATAGCCCGATTGGTTCACTACGATAGGCAAGCCTGACAACCACGTCATGGTAGCATCAACGGTTGTTGGTTCAGTCATGGATACAATTTTAATGATGCTCATATTTTTGTTGTTTATTGGTCATTCCCGACTGTTATCGAGACACTTCTGTCAATCATATATAATTTTTGAACGCTTTTCTCCAAATGACTTTTACTGTTGTATGTAAGTCTCAATCGGTTGAAGAGAACCTATTAAATAATTGAGTGTATATTTTTCTGTTGGCGTTGATGTTATTGACTTGGTGAAAAATTCAAAACATTTCAATCTGGGAATAAAACGGTTTTCTTTTAAGCATTTTCAAGCCGGTATTTAAGGTACATCTAGGTTTCAGATTATGCAAGAAAACTCAAATAATAAAACCAACTCACCGAATGATATGCTTGCACATTTAGTTTGGTTTAACATTTTTCTGGGGGTAGTAGTGAATCTAACAAGGGGTTCGATTCAAAAGACTACGCATTGCTAATACTCAACTACGATGTTAATAAAACGAGACTGACATAAGTTTCTCTATAATTTTGTGATAAATTGGTTTTTTCCAAATAGATGATGGCATTCTTATCAAAACCTCATTCACGAATATTTGTCTCCATTATCCAGCAAAGCGTAATGCTCTATTTGTAGTTGGTGTAATCATACTTTAATACACCTGTACGGAAGTTAAAATATGGTAAGCAAAGTCATTAAGGCTAACTTTACCTTGTTCTGAAGAACCTAGTTTTATTATATACTTTACAGGACGAATTAACATTAACTAAATGGACAAACTGTTCCTGAATAATACTTATATCAGTTGACTAGATGCTCCAAGATTGATTTTTTTACCGACTTCTGTGATCTTTTGGTAAGTCAGGCAGGATAGTGTTCGGAAATGTTTTTTGAAAGAGCTCGATTTGTTTGGCCAATATATACTGCTCCACATGAGCAAGTAAACTGATAGATGCACATAGATTTGGTCCAAAGCGCAAGTTTATTTTCCGCACAACTACGAGTCATAAGCCGACTGAAAAGGATGTTTTTCTTAGAGATCTCGAAGGCCTGTTTATCAAAATTTACATCGCAATATTTCTTTTAAACTGAATGTTTATGAAGAGAATCTTCTTCGGTGCTCGAGACACGTTGTATTGGCATGGGGTTTCTCTCAATGAATCTGGGTGTGTATCGTTGTTGATCAGTATCTGCCGTAGTTTATCAAATCTGGTATCGATTGTATCCTCGGTACAGTTACATCTACCACACGTACATAGAAAATTAATTAGGTTTCTCTTTTGATTCAGCGGGACCCAACTTTCAAAACTCGTGTATTGATCATTCTATGTTAGCTTTTTATATTCCGATGTTTGTAGAGGACCGCCAGGTCTCTTTAACAAAAATATATCAGAAGTGGAATTCTGAATCCCACTCTGATTCCTTTGTGAACTTGGTTGATTGATGACAGTGAACGCATCCAAGATATCGTTGAAATAGGTATTGTTGTCACAAATAATGAAAGTGTCATCTAAATATCTCTTGTACAGATAGAGGCTATCAGGCTTTCGTCTAAGTATAGTGTTCTTGAGATTAGCAATCAAACAGTGATCTAAGTCAGGCTGTCTTTGATGTATGTCCCACCTTTTAGAAATGCACTAACTATTTGGTTAATTTCCAATAGGCTCAAATTATTAAATAAGCCTTCTAAAAATAGGTCTAGCTCCTCAGATTCAGCTGCAGGCGTTTGGGTTTGGGCATATCATAACGCGTTCACTATGTGTGGTATTGTACTCGGATTTGAGCCTTAGGGTCTATATAACGACTCTTGGTACTGCACGAGTTCTCAAACGGAACTAGTTTTGTTTAGGATCAAACCTGTCACCTATTTTTGAAAATCAAGTGCTTTGAACATTCAGCCAACTCGACTTTAATCATCGAAAGGAGGATTTACAACACCCAATGCTTGATGACGACAACAGAGATAGCTTTAACGCGAATGAATATTTAAAGCGCTGAATTTCAAACTAGCTGTTAAACTGTTCATAGAGTGGTTTAAAGTTCATTATAAAGTGTCACACACCTCTTTTCTTACTAATTGGAACCAAAGTGGTTGTTGTTCATAGAATAGGATTTTGTTGCATAACTCTTTCGCGTGTTTTTTTAAATTAAGTATTATTGATATTCTTTTTATACGACTTATATTCTAATTCTCCGCAGTACTGTTTTAACAGCACCGCGTCTTTGGGTTATTTTATGCGTTTGGATTAAATGAAAACATAAGTGGATAATATCCATAACTTTATTGTCTCTAAATATTTTGTTGAAATGTGATCATTTATCTTATAAAAGGGAATTAATCGGAACAATTTTACATCGATGCCGATAAAACAAATACTAATGGTTTACTGTATATTGTGTTATCCAAATAAATACCTCGAGTATATTGTCATGGTGAAGTTATAGGCATAAATTAGTCGAATACTTTACTTTGGTTTATAATTAATTTTCTTCTTGAACGTTTCGTCATTTATTATCAGTTTAAAAGAGATTTGATCCACCGATTCCCTTTTCTCTGTCTATAAGTATATGAAGTAAATGCAGAATCCTATGTAAGCCTAAGTTCAGTACAAAAATGTGAAATGTGTTGACACATTTTCGTAAGCCTCAATCTAATTAACAGATAGATGTCATTGATGAAGTAGTTAGTTAGCAAAAGCCTGAATGTAGATCCCATTATGTGTTCATTTTCTTTCAGATTTATTTATCAATTAAATACCAGGTATTGATCCTAAAATTAATTTTCAGATTTCATGCTTTATGAGTATTAACAAAACTAAGTAGAAAGTCTGTCAGGAGAATTTTAGTAAAAGTAGAAACTGTTATATAAAAACCTAAAATTGTGCTGGGGACGTCAATGTACATGTGTTAACTTCTTGGTGTCCGTTTTATTTGTAATTAAACCCTTAGCTTATATTTTCTGCGTTACATTTCGGCTGTTTTGTATCATACTACGTTTGTGTTCTTGTAATAACAAAGCCTTTACTCTCAATATTGTATTATAAATATTTCTAATTTCATATTTTTCGGTTTTTCTTGTACCTTCCTTATATGTCGCTTATATGCCTAATCATAGTAGAGAAGCACCGCGTAACGAGTTTCATAAATTTAAGACACTTTCAAGCAGTTTAGAATTCTGCTTATTGATACGTGTGAAACAGTAGTCATGTTCGGAAGAAGCCAATTCGATTTCTAGAAACGTACTTGAATAATTAGTTTTCCAAATTCAGTGAACTTAAATCGCTGTTTAATGAGTTCTTTTTATGTAACGTTTGTCTATTATATATGATTAGAATTCATCTATTTACTATTTTTAAAACTGATTAAGTAGTGCAAATCCTTATCTTCTAAAACAACTAGATGCCAATTCATGGTTCGAAAATGAATATACAATTTCTTGTATTTAGTGAAATTTGTTTTTTTTTTGGATGCTCCTAATGAACCATTTGATACGTATGAATCTTGTCCCAAACTAATCGACTCAATGCCTCTGTACTAATATTTCCATGCAACGGATTTGTCTGGAGGTTATCCACAGGGTTTGGGCACCCGGGAAATATAACAGCCTTCACACGTATCAAATGAAATCTGTGTGGCGCATATGTATTTGGTGCCTCCTTGTACCAATATCTATGTGTTAAAATAAAAAAACGAGGGAGTCTCGTCTTTATTAAAAGTGACTACAGTTATTAGCTTCGTAAACAATCTGTTGGTGCCTAATCTAATGAGCCATATATTTCTCCATATATCCTGAACTTTTATCATCATGATCCTCGCAAGTGAAACGATGATCAGTCAATGTCATAAGCAACATAAAATCAGGAAAAAGTGCGGACCAACTCTAGTTGATACATCACTTCAGCAAAGCAAGATACGTAGCTAAAAATAGTATTTTCGAATATAATACCAAAAAATAAACGGATACGGTTTTTAAAAGATGAACAGAACTAAATAAACTAAACGAAATAGTATTAAAACATAAGATCTGAAAACAGGAATAAATACAAATGCACCACTGCAACCGATTGGCAATCATGTCACATACTATATATATTGTCACAATGACTCCACCAATAGACAATGGTTTCATGGTTAGGACTACATTTATTTATGCCCATTGCTAAGTCGATGTACTGGGTCACCAAATGGGACAATTTCTCCATAAGTGAATTTTTAAACGTAATTGCAGCAGATGGCTATGGCAATATCCTCTCAGGACTGAGAAATTTGTCTAAACTACTCAGCCTCGTATCAACTTTCGAACTCACTGCTACACTTGTAACACCACAAAGAGTTGCTAATGCATCTTCGTATATTTAGTGAGCAGATTTTGAGTATTTTTTGTATGAATTATGATAAATTGCAGTGATAAAAAGGATTTTCTGGTGCTACTTTCGTTTTGCGAAATATATATAGGAGTAATTCTATTCTTCTTGAGATTTTGTCTTGTATTTTAAAGTTGCATGTATTTGTGCTTGTATTCAGGTGAGTTATTGTTTGCAAGAGTTATACAACATTCAGTGTCGGCTTTTGCACATCCCACAAGGACATCAGATGAACCAGCTAGCAGCACATGCTCTTGCACAGCATTTCACTTCCGGTGGAGGACCAGTTATGGTTGGTGGTGGCCAATTAGCTCATACAATTATTGGTGTTCAGTTATGTGAGTCAACATTAAACGGTACTGAATCTTCGTCATATCGCTATTTAATTCTGGATCCTCATTATACTGGCCCCTTTGGAAATATTAAGCTTATTACCGAAAAAGGTTGGTGTGGGTGGAAACTTCAAAGTTTCTGGAAATCCAACGTTCATTATAATCTTTGTCTTTTACCAGCCAGGAAAAGTAGTTGTGTATGATCTGATTTTCCCAGTCTTTTCATAGTACATATTTTTTGTTGTTAAATCTAATCAGTAATTTTTTCATGTTCATACCAAGCTTATTTCCCATATAAGTTATTTTTTGTGATAAAATAATCCAAGTTGTTAACATTCCTTCCTAATAAGGGTTTACTAATTTCTTTCATAATGCTTTATTACTGATCTAATTATTGCATAATTAGTCCACCAAATTATCCAAAGGTGCTGCACCGTAGTACTAATGAAGTATCGGTTTTTACATTTATTACATGTATGACACATTTATTTATGAATTATATCAGTACTGGGTTCAATTTGTTTTACTACTGTGAGAACACGGAAGTCACTCATTGACATACTATATAATTGTCAGAAATATAGTTCGTTGAGTATCAGAGTTGTAATTAGAGCGGACCTTATTTGCCGTATTGTTTCTTTATGTACAAAGACAAATCAGATCGGAACCAAAAGATGACAAAACAACACTATTTTATTGGGATTAGCAGATAGCTCTCTCTGGCGGCCCAGTTGATGAAGTACAGAGTTTCCTAACTAACGGAACTTACGTTTTCTCACGAAAATGGGCCTTTAAACGGCCACGCTTTTTATTGTAACATAAATTAGTAGTAAACTGAGAATCTGCCAATCAGTTCTTTCAAACAATGGATGTCAAGTGATTAGCAAGATTATCTATCCTTAGCGATACCCCTTTTGTTTGCTTTCGTTTGAAAGTGTTATTTCAGAGCGTGAAAGTCGACAATCTATTACATGGAACCCGTTAGGTCACTGTGCCAAAGTGTCTCCACAAACATAGTATAACTAAGGAGGCATCTAACAAAATTCAAAAACCCTGAAACTGTAGTATTGAAAAACGCGAGTTCAATGGAGAAATATTTACCTTCATAAACCAAGTATGAAGTTGTTATCAAATAAATGTTCATTGGTCGGTCTACCAGTGTGTTATGAGTTCTCATACTGCAACCCAGTTAACCTTATCGCTCATTCTTGGAATATTTCACTCTATAGGTCCCCAAATCGAAACACTATTGAACAGAAACATAATTATATTCCAAATAGGAAAGGTTGAATGAAATTAGGAATCAAAATAAGGAGCACGTTAGTATATTTATGATTTTGCACGGGATTCTAGAGTCTTCTCTGAGCACCCGCCAGTGTTGATTGGCTAGGACATTGCCAATCAGTGTATTCCAATGCAAATATTCATCCCGTTAAAACAGTGTTTCTCATTTCCGTAAGAATTTAAGTTAGGTCGCCTTGATTATAGAAGTTCACTCTCATCAAATGACATTAGGATACAATGGTCTTCGACGTTGTATAAACTCCCTGGAGGGCGTGGTAACTAAGACCACTGCTGTATGTTATCTTCACAAACTTCCTACTGATTGCCGTAAATCAACTCAAATACCCCATGAACCACCATACTGGAGAGTTTTTCAGCATTTTTAGTTGGCTTACTTTCGGATTTTTGCACCTTACGAAGCTTGCCATACCAAACCCTAATGGCCCAAAACCACTCAGCTATTGTTCTACCAGATTTCAGGAGTATTAAGTCTATCTACATTGTGGAGTAGTGTGACTCTAAGTGAAGGAGGTGTACCTTTCGTCGCATTTCGCTCCTACATAAGCGGCATAGGTTAGCTACGATAATACTCGTACCCACCAGGTAGAATCTGGTTGTTCATCGAAAGACTTTTCTTGTAGGCTTTACTTGGATATAACGACAGAGATTTTTGTTCAATGTCACACTTTCCGAATTCTTGGTGCAGCCGCTACTAACTTGTTATTGTTTCTCCTCCTAACGATTACCCACTGCACCCTCCCGTAGAACAAGATATCAACAAGTAGATCCTGTTATTACGGCATAGGGACTGGGGGGGTAATGCCTTTCAGAATATTTGATAATGAAAAGCGGTAGGTAAAAATATCAACTGATAATGACGAAAAAGGAAAGGAACAAAGGAAATGGTAACTACGCTCGACTGTTTTGATTAGCAATTTTCAGTAATTCAGGAAGTGTTGCACGTATATTAAGGTTACAAGTAGTTAAATAAATAGTCGTAGCAGTTATAACAACTAGGGATACTGAAGTTGATCGAGGTAACCATGCCTAACGTGCAACAATTTAGTTTCGATATAATTGTGGCGGTTTCAGAGTTTGAGGTTTTGCATTATTTCACAAACAATGTAAGATAATAGAAACATATTGGCCGCGTTAAGTGCCCTAAGTTTGGATTTGGAAACTGGTGACTGTCACTGATTACTGAGAAGCCTAAGGGTTTCAGTAAAATACATCGATGAAATGTCACTGCCCATTTTGCAATCTACGATTATTGTCAGATATACTCTGACAAGTATTTATCTGAATCTACCTCCTAAATATACTGTACGATCTTTCTGCATATGTTTTGTGCTAGTGAACATCCCTACATTTATACTTGCAAAAGGCGGTAGCCTTTATAACTATCTGAACATAAGTTTATGATTATTAATTTCCACTTCGCGTGTGCTATATTTGATTTTTGGATAAAGGAAATGTTATTGCGAATATCCGTTTACTAGTTTTTTTCGGTCGCGTTGCTTTATTTCCGGATTTCTGTGAAAGGGATTAATCCGTCCTGTCCAACGTTTTATTGCCGTGGCAGCCATGACGGTTCCCCATTCTTCGTTGGGCACTTTTCAGTCGGTCCATCAGTGGCGTAGAGTTGCGATTTTTGTCTGGTAGAAACATCCTTTTCTTTTGAAAAGTAGTGATTTAACGTCTACAAAATATTTAGTTAAGCAATGTTTTGCAAATGCATTTTACAATGCAATTGTACAAGTCCCTCCTTGCGTCATCGGAAGAAACGTTTTCCAAGGAAGTTCATTCATTTTGTTTACTTCGTATTTAGATTTGCCTTGAGAGTACCACTATTAATAAGCCATCATCCACATGCTCTTTCATTCCGATATATCGGACTAAAGAAGCTCGACGTCGTGAAACAAATGCACAGCACTATTGGAGTTCTAAAAATTCTGATTTTAACTAGCATATGATCCTTCATAGATATGGATTATTACAGTCGCTTGGTAATCTGAAAAAATCAGCGTCAGTTTTGGAGAGTAATGGAATAATATTCGAGTGTTTATAAATGAGAAACAAATGATTGTTATCTCTAGTTAAGCAGTTTTTACATTAAGTGTATAAGGTACATTTTATGGCTGTACAAGTCCTCTTAACAAGATATGACTTTACATTCACTAGGAGATGAGTGATCTCTTTGAATCGGTTGGTCAGTATAAGCTCCACTAAGACGTAAAGTGTCTGAAGTGATACTTAGAGAAATATTTATTAATATCAAAGGAACAATCCAGATGCTTGATGTTATATCACTTCATTCATAAAGGTCTTCTGTGAATGACTCACCATCCCGATAGGAGCTGAAGCTTCGTATTAGCATTTTAGCCATGTTTACCCTTATTATATTCAAATAGTAATCCCATTGTTGTGCGAGTGAATCAAGTATATAAGTTTAAAAAAACTATGTGATCACCATACTTAGTCTGGGACAAGCAGCAAATAACAATTATGAATACAATATATTCATTATCGAAAGCAACAGTCTGTACAACTTGATACGGCGGCAAATGTCGCGTCACAACAGAAATAAATGCCAACGATTATGGAAGGTTGTTGTATCAATAATAATGACAATCATATTACACTATTTTTTCTGCCACACTGTACGTTCACTTTTAACCTACATAAAACTGACGCTATCGGAGTGACTCATTGGAAATATGTCAGATTTACTTGGGAAGAACACTCCGATGCTTCAACAGTAACCATCGACAACGACAGCCACATGCACCTGCCTTAAAGTTTCAAAATTTGGGAATCACATAGCCGTATATAAGCATAATCTTCGTATTTTGTCATAAAAGCCGCAAGAATACTGGATGCATCAGTAAAGAAATAGACGGTCGATTATTCAGAGTTCTATGTTTCCACATGTTGCAACGTAGATTACACTGTCTTATATCACGTCGCATGAAGATGAGTACCTTTTTGGTCAAATAATAACATGGACTTGAAATGGATTGTTCTGAATTGACAAGATTTTATGATGTGAACTTATAAGCGCCCTTAACAGTTCCAAACATTTAATCATTCGAAAGCTTTTATGAAGTAATTTTTAGTTCACAGACAAATTTAAGATAACTGTTTACAGTCTCTATGTCCTCTGCAATGTTTGTATACTTTTCAAATGTGTTCTACATTTTACACTGGACTGCAGTAAAATATCAGTTGTACGTTCAAAAGGATGTGTCACAGTTTATCCCTGATTGATATACTAGGTTATATTCAATTTCACCTGACCAATGACCGTTTAAACTGCTGAAGCTATTATTTCAAAGTGGTTGATGTGGATTATCAATAGTGTTGTAGCGGTAAATAAATCCCCAAAATAAATAGCTCTGTAAGTTTTCGACATTGGATGCTGACCACATTAGATTTAATGGACTCACCTAACTGAAGGCGCTCGGTCATGCATCCACACCAGATCACGAGTGGGAACGCCGTGCTCAACATCCCTTGCAGTCGCTACCCAGATTAGGTCAGCCGATCCACGATATATTGATAGCCTATCAAATATGTCTTTGAACCTCCTTGCCTCTGTCTTTTCATTTCACTTGCTGGGTACGATTCTTATTAGAGGGTGTTACTGGTTAAAGAGTTGTCGAGCTCCGAATACCTGTGGCATCTTTCAGTATGAAAATTCAGCAGTGATTTGAACTTTTTACCGTGGATATATTGTAGACTTTATTTGCCTGACAATATTTTCAAGTGTCTGGGTACCAATTCAAGTCCAGCTGTGTAATTTAGACAAACATGTTCAATCTTCTTTATAGACTGTCCTCGTGGATTTAAATCCAGTTTAATCTGATAATCAAAGTGAGCAAGCTTTATTGTCCGTTGTCAACTACAGTAATCTCATTAGCTGTAAAGATTACATTGTGAACACCTAACCAAAATGGAAAACATGTGCTTTGTGGTCAATTGTGAATGTAGGAGCCATGATAGTGAATGTAAAACTTAAGGTTTCAATTGAATCCAGGCCATGAAGACTCCAATCTCACTTTCCCTCGCTTTTATGATAATACTAAAACAATATTCAGTATCCAGTGATGAGGATAGTAGGTCCATCGACCTATATTTATCCTTGCACTTTGTAACACTATGGAGGTCCAATCTCGTTTTGAATATATCAACAGAAGGTGCTGATATTACATGTTCCGGTAGAGAATTCAAGTAATTCAATACTCGGTGCGAGAAAGGAAACTCTAGATGTAAACGATTTAACCTCGGTTTTGAACTTTCTTCGAATGTCCTCTCAAAATGATCAGTCCCAGACGGAAGCAAAAGATAAAACATGTTAATACCAAGGTCATCGTCCAGTATACGATAAGCCAATATTAAACCATCCCGTATTTTAAGGCAAGATAACAGAAGTAAGTTAAGGTGTCTCAGTTGGTCGATGTAAAATAAGGTTCAGTCAAGAAAAAGTAGAATAATTGAGTGAAATCAATACGTGATACATTAAGTATCGTTTCTGCTGCTAACGAATTTATCTACACACATTTTGTTTATCATATGATTTATTTCTAATTGTTACTGTCACATTGTCTATAAATTCAGAAATGTGGTCAGCCCACATGAGCCTTTAGAGCAGAGACGCCACAAGTATTCGGAGTTTGATAGTATCTTACCCAGTAACACCTTTTATAGTTGAAATATACCAAGGCAGTCAATTCAGAAATCAGAAACGAAGAAGTTCGTAGAAATGTTTGATACGTTATCAGTCTATCGAGAAGTGATCAATCTGAGCTTGCTGGAGGTGGTAGGAAACGTGAAGAAACTCCACATTAACAGACATCGTAGTGGTTGGCAATATGCATTGATAAGGATGAATATTAATCATATATCGATTCCCGAGCTGCTAAATACTAACTGCCGACCAATAACTAGAAAGGTGTTCTATCATCAATTCCTACTAAGTCGAAACATATATCGAAATTGTGGTGTCATAAAAAGTAAATAATCTTGGTTAACTGATTTAGGATTGCTTAGTATCACTATGTAAATTCAATATCTATCGTCAGGATAGATCAAGTAAGAAGAAAGAGGTGTGACAGCGGTGTAGTTACGGTTGTAAACGCGAACTGGTGTCGACCTACTTTTACATGTCTCAAGTTTTAAAATGACCTTGGAGAAATCCATTGATTTTTTGTAGCTCTTTGGTTTAAATCACTAACAGATGTCACTGCTGTTTGTATATCTTTCCAAGCAACATCTGGGTCAGCCTCGGTTTCGAAATTGCCCAAGTGTGAATTCAGTTGTTCCTGAAATGTACCTTTGACCTTCTAATCGTTGAGTTCAACTCCAATAGGTCTTCTTAATGTGTCTTTTCTGCGTCCAGTGAGGCGCAAGCAGTTGTGCGCCCGTATTAGAGCATGGTCGGAGTCCAAGCAGGTATTCCAGAACGAGTGGTAGTCCTCTATCGATCCTCTCCAACGACGACTGATGGCAATATGGTCTATTTGAGTCCATCGTTGGTTTGGTGCAGGCGGTCGCCATGTTAGACTATGTTTCTCCTTATGCTTAAAATTAGTGCCTGCTAAAAATAGACGATTGTCTGAGCACAGTTGCAGCAGACCATCATCATTAACTGTTCGTTGAGCCGGAATACTAAAGTACCCACCTAAGTGTCTTTCTGTTTGGTTTAAGCTACCTACTTGGACATTAAAGTCACCTGCTACGAATACTATGTGTGGGTGTTTAGCTTAATGAAGAAGTTCATAAAGCTTTCTGTAAACTTCATCTTTCACTTAGTCACGGCTGCAGTCAGTGGGAGCGTAGGCAGAAACAATAAAAAGGCAACGACGTGTGTCCTTGTCCTTCCGAGTTCTTACGGAGCCGTTTAGCCGAACAGTATATAGACGACTGTTAACGGGGATCCACTCTAATAGTGCTTGTTCTGTCCTCGTACTTAGTGCTATGCCTACACCTGCCAGTCCACGAGAACTAGCCACCGGGTCGCCATATACATGGAGGGTGTATATCGTCGGCTCTCCGTTTTGACGAGGGGAGGCCAGGTGAGTGACCACACTAGGATCCTGTATGTGTGTTCCGGCGACACAGCATAAATCAATGGTACGAGATTCTAGAGTTTTAGCCAAGGAGGCCTGCTGACCAGTTTGACATAGTGTGTGTACTTTGAAGGCTCGAATGTGTAGTTTGGAGCGAGGTTCCAGTAGACCTGGGACAGTGCTTTGCGTACTAGAGTCGTTGGCTATGGTGACACATGAAGAGGAAGCCAAAAGCGGAAGTTTAGTGTTGGAAGTCAATGTCAGTCAGTCAGTAACAACGTAGAACGTCGTACGTACGTACATCAATTCGATTACGCACACCACATTAGCACAGAGATGCAATTGTCGATTCAAATCCCGTAGTGCTAGATGTAGTAAAATTATAAGCTGTAATTAGAAAAATTGGGGTTTGAAGATATTATTCAAGGAGTATAATCCAGTGAAATAAATTTGATAAGAGAAAAAAGAAAGGGACATGAAGAATTCAGAAGATTAGAATTTGGGAGAACACAAAGAGTGTATGCACCTGCGTCATTGCAAACGATTTTGAGCCATGTCATTCAGGGTCTCTAACCATCGGTTGCTATCATCTCGTGGTCCCCAACCAGGTAGTCTACACTTACTAATATGACTCAGTCTACTTGTCAGTGACTTCATGGACTTGTGCCATGTTTTGGTCTGGCCGCCCCTAGCTTTCTTCCAATCTACTCCTATACAACAAAACATCGCACTTCGAGGCAGTCGGTGGTTGGGCATACGTAACACATAACCCAGCCATCTCAACTGATGAAGTTTCACTACGTCATCAATTGATTTGCCATCCTTACCTAGTACCCGTTTCCTAACAACTGTATTACTTACTCGATGGTCCCATGATATACGAGCAATATTTCGAAGACATCTATGATCAAACACTAGTAACCTACGGATATCCTCCACTCTTACCGACCACATTTCACTGCCATAAAGTAGGACGGAACGAACTGCTGCGCAGTAAGCACGTCCTTTGGTTGATAGGCGGTATCTTGTCTACGCCATAAATGACGCAAGTTGGCAAAAGCTAGTCGAGCCTTCTGTATCCGTGCTGAGACTTCGTCACACACCAGACCACAAGGGCTGATGAGAATTCTAAGATAAGCGAAGCGATCGACACGCTCAATTACTTCACTCCTATCATTAGTTCGGGTGTCGATGCAACCCAATCCTGAAGCAACATTTTGTATTTCGAGGGGGAGAATTACATCCCGAACATGCTTGCATTGTTGCTTAGAGTGGTCAGAAGACTCTGCATTTTGTCAGCGTCTTCACCAAATAAAACTATGTCATCAGCATATTCTAAGTCAACAAGTGAACCTCCCGGTAGAAGTTCAACCCCTGGAAATTTAGACAAGGAAAGTGTTATCTCTAAAAGTACGTCGACGACAAAGTTGAACAAGAATGGAGAGATGGACAGCCCTGACGAACACCATTTGAGGTAATCAATTCTGATGACAGCTCGCCATAAGCTCTGACTCGGACAGTTGTGTTGGAGTAGAGAGCCTGTGTAAGGTTAATGTACATCTTTAGTACTCCTTTCAGTGACAAACTCTGCAACAGAACCTCACGATCAGCAGAGTCAAATGCCACCTTGAGGTCGAGAGATGCTACGATTGTGGGACGTCTGAATATGTGTCTGTGTTTTAGAACCTGACGTAGTGTGAATATCTGATCTATACAACCACGTCCAGGTCGGAAACCAGCCTGATTTTCTCTAGTCTGTTCTTCACGAGCTTTGGTTAGGCGTCGAAGTATTATTGAAGCTAATATTTTAGACACTATATTTGTCAAACTGATTCCTCTGTGATTGTCACAAGAGGACTTTTGTCCTTTCTTAGACTGGCACAATCAGTGATTGAGACCAGTCAGATGGGATTGCGTCCAGTTCCCAAATTCTACCTAAGACCTCAGTTAATCTCACTGCTAATACTGGACCACCATCCTTAAAAATCTCAGGGGTAAACCTGTCAGGGCCTGCTGCTCTCCCTCGCTTCAGATTTCCTATGGCTTTTTCAACTTCGTAAAGAGATGGAGGACCTACATTAACTTGCCTTTCAGGTTGACTGGAGATCGTGGGAAACCGAAGTGTGGCTGGAAGCCAGTTGAACTGATCCCTAAAGTGTTCTGCCCATCGATCCAATCTCCTGGATGTAGAATGTATAATATGCCCATCTTTCTCTGAACAATTGTTTGCTATTACCTATTGCCGCTGCCTTTTCCATCTCTCTTGTTTTCGCTACCCACCACTGTTCGCGATCATTGAGTAGACTTCTTGTCAGCTTGCGCTTAAGCTGACTCCGCTCTTCGTCATGTTCGGAGCCAGATGGGATGAGCATCTATCAGTGTGCTTGATGCTGCTGAGACCCAGTATTTCTCCCTAACCTTATGGTTTACCTTACTAACAGATATCACTGCACTTTCCACAGCTTTTCGGATATCATTCCATGCTGCCTCGGGGTGGGCATCACATACATGACTGCCTAACTGTTTTTCTAGTTGTTCCTGAAATACATTCTTAGCTTGACTATCATTAAGTAGAACGTTAAGAGGTTTACTTGCTGCGTCGTTCTCAAGTGCAGGAAGACGCGGATTTGACCACAGACTGCACATCATCTGCGCTATCTCTTTCGGCTGATGCATTCACTGACTTTGCTGTACTGGTTTCAGTGGTTCACTTTCAATTGTATTTGGTGATTTCAGTTCATATGACTGTATCTTCTTTCAAACACTATGTCACCAAATTCTATTTTTTTCACCACTTGTTTGGATGTTCATGTAGAATCCGTTTTCATTAATGGTGTGGTTACATATGCTCGATTGTCAAGTTCAGACCACTGTATAATTCGTTTTCTACCTAAGCTATATGAAAAGCATAGAAAGAATACACTCTTTTATCAGACCAAGGAAGTAAAATATAGGAAGATCAATGTCTTTTTGAAGTTGAGTGAGTTTAAGAAGCTCAATTCCTTGAAAATGTTTCGAGGGAGTTATGCCAAACAAACCGTCTTCAACTACATTTTTGCTCCAGAAATATGCTGAATGTCTGAAGTAAACTGCGAAATGTAGTCCAGTTGTTTAGACTTTCGAGGAAAGTACTTGACTGAGAACGGGCTTAAAAATAATGTAAAAAGTTTATGATTGATGAAAAAGTAGACTTTCGGCATTCCAATGAGTGTTGAAACCGTACAGCACAACAAATGGCATAGAGTTCTCGACAAAAATTGATATGCCTCGATTCATTGTCTAGAGAAAACCGTCTAGAGAAAAATGCCAAAGGTTGCCAGGAGTTGTTAACTCATTGTTGTAAGACTCCTCTGATTGCTGAGTCGGATGCGTCTACGGTGATACTAATGGATGCTTCAGAGTCCTGATATGCAAGCATTGTTGCTTTAGCGATAAGTTCCTTAATTGTGGAGAATGCTTTTCGTGCGATATCGTCCAAATTGATGGATCTCGCATTTCCACAAAGTTAACCGGTAAGAGGCACATTTGTGTATGAAACGTCCATAGAAACTTCCCAGGCCGTTAAACGTGCGTAATCGCTTGACGGTGGTCGGTTCTGGGTAATCCAATGTGGCCGCCACTTTGGTTCCAAAGGGTCAAATTCCGTGAGCATCAATAGTATGTCCTAGAAAGTTTAATGAGTCGGTTCCGATTTGGCATTTCTGAATGTTTACAGTAATGCCATGTTTCTGTATTCGGTCGAAAACAAGTTCCAGATGCTGAAGATGCGATTCTCTGTCCGAACTTGCAGTGAGGCAGTCGTCACCATACGCATGTACGAAGTTGAGACCTCAGAAAACGTCGTCTATGAACCCTTGGTATGTTTGGGCAGCATGTCTTGAGCCGAAAGGCATTCACAAAAATTCTTAGAGTCCGAAGGGAGTTATGACAGCGGTTTTAGGAATATCGTCAGTAGCCATAGGTATTTGGTTATACGCTTTAACCAGGTCGATTTTCGAAAAGACAGTTGTACCTTTCAATGTAGCTTTCAAATCGTGAATGTGAGGCAACGGTTAACGATTGGGAACGGTTTTCGCATTCAATCGCCGATAGTCACCAGTTGGATGCCAATCGTTGCTTCTCTTTTTAGGGGCCATGTGCAACGGAGATGTTCATGGGCTGTTTGACGGTCTTATGATACCTAAGTCTATCATGTGGTCGAATTCGTTTTCCGCCAACCTTAGCTTTTCGGAGTTGGTCGGCGCGCTTTCGAGAATACAGGCAATCCTGTAGTCGTGGTGTGATGTGTAACGTTGCTGGTTACACATGGCAGTTTCGTTCGCGTTTGGCCAGGAATCGAGTATTTGTTGGTAGTATGGATCGATTGTGTATCTTACTGTGTCTTGGGACAATCTACAAACGGAAAAAGAAGTTTTCGAAACGGACAAATCAGTATTTCCTTCTACTAACCTCCGTTCACGCGTGTCGATGAGTAGATTATGCTGTTGTAGCAGGTTTGTGGCGATAGTTAGCATAGAAACACCTGTAACAATGAAAATTCATCGGATGGATTTGCGTACACATATCGTCTACGATATGTGGCGCTCGGTTTCCCATTTTCCGCTTGTAAGTTGAAAACTGCCTCGTCCAGTCAGCCATTAGAATTCATCAGAAGAACGCTTACTTCTACGCCAGCTTCGAAGAGGTGACGAACATTCGTAATCACTTCGGCGAAGTATAACAGACATCTGTGTTCGCCGGCTACTATTACGATCGACGCGTGCCGGCTGGAAAGTTTCTCGAAATACTTTTCATGTTGATTGGTTCAGAGCCTGGAAAATTGCAGGGTTTTCCGCATTTTCGAAAAGATTTTACGTACTGAGTATGATACCAACACCAGTCGGGGTTATCTGTATTTCGTAATCTGGAGGCAGATCGTTTACGTAACATACTACGTCGACGAGTTTCGGATCATGTGCGATCGTGACGAATATTAAGGTGACGTGTCAAGATATGACGGAGTTCCGCAAAGTCATTCCGTGTCGTTCGAGGTTTTCCTCTGTTTGTTCGGTGGTCTCCAGAATTCGGTTGGCTTATGCAGCCAGTTCGTCTCAAGAGTTGTTTTGAAATGAGGCAAGCAGTGCTCTCACCTGTTGAAGAAGCGTAGACGAGAAAATTTGTCTAAACAGGCCATCGTCGTAGGTCCGCTGACCAACATGTCTGTTGCTGAGCCATGTTGTAGATCGATATCGTTGAAGATTTGATCCAAACGTTGTCGATCGGTTAGATCTCCACCCTTATAAATGGCCTTTTACAGATTTCCGTAAGGTTCCAAAGCAACTTTATTGAACATACTAGGTGTGACGTATCTGTTGAATTCGCGTGCTGGTGCCTTCATAACTGCGGTAAATTGTACACATGAGTCTGTCATGTCGTGCTCGTGGAAGTCAGCTTTTACGTAGACGAACCAGGCTTCGATGTCGTCTGGTCAGAATGGCATTAGCTGAAATGTGGGTGATGAAAGAGTGTTGATCTTGAATAATTAAGGAGTCTGTTAATTCTTGATAAGTATAAAGTAGAGTAATGAACAAAGAAAAGTATCCACAAATACAAAAAATCACAATTTGTAAAAATTCAAGCAAAAGTTTGATATATAATGTCCCAAAAAGGGACAGATTCACAGTTTACTAATTGATGCATCAGATCACATAAAGTTCAACACAAGAGATGCCACGGGTATCCGGAGTTTGACAACAACTTAACCAACAGCACCTAAAATCGAAATATGCCAACTCAGCCAAATCAGATGTCAGAAGCGAAGAGGATTGAAGATATATCTGATGGGTAATCGATATATTGAGAACGGACTAATCTAGGCTTGTCAGAGTTTGTAGGACTTGCAAAGCATGGTGTACTCACTCGTGATTTTGTGCGGATGCATGGCGGAGCGCCTTCAGATTGGTGAGTTCACCAAAACTAATGCAGTCCGCATCAAATGTCAAAGACTTACAGAGCCATTCATTTTGGGGATTTATTTACCGCTACAATTAATTGTTCGAAGTTTTGAGCGGATTTACTATGAAGATAACACAGGTATTCGGAGCTAGACAACTCTTTAACCAGTAACACCCTCTAATAAGAATCGTACCCAGCAAGTGAAATGAAAAGACAGAAGCAAGGAGGTTCAAAGACATATTTGATAGGCTATCAATATATCGTGGATCGGCTGACCTAATCTGGGTAGCGACTGCAAGGGATGTTGAGCACGGCGTTCCCACTCGTGATCTGGTGTGGATGCATGACCGAGCGCCTTCAGTTAGGTGAGTCCATTAAATCTAATGTGGTCAGCATCCAATGTCGAAAACTTACAGAGCTATTTATTTTGGGGATTTATTTACCGCTACAACTAGAACGAGTTTAACGGCGAGTGACTAAAGTGGTAAAGTGTCTCTTTGACCTATCTTATGGAAATAGACTGAGATGCTACAACCTATTTCCGTCATCTAACTCCAGGAAAAGAGGTGATTTAATACTGGTTTACCGCATAATGAACGGAGATTTTGATATCGATATATCTTATTCCTTCCTTCCATCAAGAGCTGATCATCCGAGTAAAAAGTTCAAAGACTGGGATCAAATCATTTATATCTAGGGTTCTTTTTGGTTCACCAAGTAGTGAATCACTGGAATTCTCTACAAGTACTCGTGATATGAACATATTTTGTTGATACATTCGAAGTGACGTTTGATCATCATGGTACTTCGAATAACAAGAAATAATATAGGACGATTGATTTATCATATTTACTGCTGAAAAATATATACTGGATTAAATATTCTATTTACGCAACTATTGATTACTGGTAAATCGAAGGTCTCGGCGGGGATTTATTGGGTTAAAAACTGGCTATCATCGTTTATTTCCATTACGAAATGTAAGTGCTTTCTTTATGTCTACTGATTTGTGTGATATTTTTTCCCGTTTTTCAGATTTATTCACATACACTCCTTCATATATTTACACAGCATAAAACATACTGGCTAGACTCTAGTCACTACATACACATTTAATAAGCTCCTGAATTCATAATTGTACACCACTTGTTGATTACTTCCCGCGTGAAGTGTAAGTGCGTTCTGCCTGTGTATTGTACCGTCATTTCTCACTGTCAACTGCTTTGAATTCCTATGGTAAAAGAATTGGCTATTTACCAGTCATCGGGTACCTAAAATATGTATTTCTCAAGGTCTGACAACACCCCACATTAATTATTATCAAGCCAAATAACCATGGATTCATTTTGACTCAACTTAGTTACTAGGTAAAACACCATAGGTCCTGTTGTAACGATCTGTTTTTATGAAGATTAAGCCGAAGTGTATGACCAAAAAGTTGGACCCACGGTACGGTAAATACCAGTCGGGTGATGTTACCTCGAAGCTGTGGTTGTCCGATATCTAAAAGCATCGTAAACATAGAGTAATTCGCTTGGAAATCGGACAATTTGAAACCTTTATACTAATTCATCAAGATTTAAGTGTTAATTGTTATAAAGCTGATAAAGATTGTTTCAGGGCTAATACTGATAACAGTTGGCTAACAATGATTATTGTGTTCGTACCGCTCTGGTAAAGCTTTAGAATCACCTGGTTTCCTCCGTTCTGAATTAGTTTATCGTAGCTAATTTCTTAAAAACCATATTGGTCAAACTAACCACTTTATTTGTCACATTCATTTTTCCATCGTTTCTTATGAAACAATGTTAGCAGTCACTAAGATCATTTAGACAGAATCATTACTTAAGTATGAAATTCAGGTGCAGACCTCCCAGTCGACCAGCTACTTGGAAAACATGTCTGCAGTGATTTTCTGGGCGACGGGTCTTGCGGCGAGAAATGTCTACTTATACATTTTTATTTAGGATTGTTTTTGGGCGAACTAAACTATATTTCTGTTATTTTTATACTGAAAAGTCTTATGCGGCTATGCATAGGTAATGTTGTATTTCTTTTCTGTTTATATTAAGCTGGATGCATTTATTGATTGACTTCAAGGTGTAAAAGGGATGGATGACTCTCAACGTTTATCGTCATCTAAGTATATAGTAGCGGAAAAGTGGAGACTTGTACGGAAAATCGGAAGTGGGTCATTTGGTTCTATATTTTTGGGTGTTAACATCGTTACGGGAGAGGAAGTAGCAATAAAAATGGAGCGTGTACGCACACGACATTGTCAACTGTATTTCGAAAGTAAAGTGTATCGAGTACTGCGAGTGAGTTAGGATTTTTGTAGTCATTTATTTACTCCAAGGAAACTCCAGGAATACCTCGTATTCAATTTTATGGACTTGACGGCGTTAGAAATCTATATCATGCTATGGTAATAGAACTTTTAGGACCTAGCTTGGAAGATCTTTTTACGTTTTGTGGGCGCAGATTCACAATGAAAACTGTTTTGATGTTAGCTGATCAAATGTTATGGAGACTTGATTTTATACATGCAAAGGGTTTCATTCATCGTGATATAAAACCAGATAATTTTTTAATGGGTATTGGTCGTCAGTGCAACAGAGTTTTTATAATTGATTTTGGTCTTGCCAAAAAGTTTCGGTGAGTTTTTCTTATCATATTAAGTGTAATCTGATCGTATATATATGTAACTTCAACCGAAGCATTTTCGATTTATTACATAGTCGTGTGTGTTATTGCAGAGCTTTCAATACTGTGATTTGGTTTATACGCTTCTGGAGTCTAGTGTGATGTAAATATGTGACCAAAATACCACCTAGCTGCTGTATTTCTGTTTCTGATTTCCAGCAAATCCCCAAGGATTACGAATCCTACTATTTTAGCAAGTACACTAGTCCTCTAACTTCGTCTGTCTTGCCGGGCATTTACCGAATACGATTTATGAATACTTTCTTGACTTAATGTGCCAAATTACCGCTTTCTTGAGTCTGATGTCATCCACCACAGGTATTTTATCACTTTCTTCCTGTATATGGTACTGCCATTGATAATTAGGCTTACTTCTCTGTGTAAAATACTTTTGGTCTTGATGTCAATCACTTAAAGTTATTTGCTGTTCATCAGTTAGTTAGGGAAAGGGTTCCAAGACCAAATGAATTTTAACCCTTCATTATGTATTTTAGCATTTCTAATCACTGTTTTTACTCCAAATTTATTTATTTATTATTTATTTATTTGAACACATAAGTATTGGTACAAGAATGCGCCAAATATATATGCGCCAGACAAAATAATGAGAATGTAAGCAGAAGGAAAAAAGAGAATAATAACGAAAAGATTGATGTAAGATGGTGTAATAATAATAATGGTAAAAATGGGGAACGGAAAGGTACAATCAGAAGAAATCTTTCAGTTAAGAGAGACACAACCACTTTCTTATGAAGAAAGTAAAAGAAGGTTACAGCGGGATCGCCACTCGCTTCTATTCTGAGCCATATCTGATAACGTCTCTAGCCACTATGTCGCACCATCTCTCGGACCCCAACCAGGGAGTCGTAAAGGACCAACACAAGACAGTCCTTTGCAGCTTTCTTTCATACCACGACACCATATCATGCAATGACCATCTCTCCGCTTCTTCCAGCCGGTTGGGCTTCGTTCTGGTCGAGGATGTATTGATCATATCTCCACCCTCCGCCAAATGTTAGAACACCGCCATACTTATCAAAGGCCAACAATCGTAGTGTTTCTTGACATCAAGGCTGCCTTCGATTCGTTGGATAGGACTGTTCTCTGGGATTGTCTATTGAAGAAGGGTGTGCCTGAGAAGTTTATTAACATCCTAAAAGCCCTATATACAAACACCTCAGGCAGAGTTAGGTCATACAGCCACCTCTCTCCATTGTTCCATTCGAACTCTCTAATCTAACAGCACATAACCGACTATTAATGGGGATCCAATCGATTAGTGCTGCCTCAGCTCTAGCGCTTGGTGCGACACCAACGCCAGCAAGACCAGACGAAGATGCCACAGGGTCCCCGGGTAAGCGCACGTAAAACAAGCTTTTCGAAGCGACAGATGAAGAGCGAATTTGTAGTACTTCACCACAGTCTTGAATACGGGTCTCGGATAGACAGCAGACATCGATATTAAAACTTTCCAAAGACATAGCCAGCCCTATCTGTTGTCCGACCTGCATAAGTGTGCGAACGTTGAAGGCAGCCAGTTTGAATGGTGCACGTGGTTTCAGAAAAACTGCTTCAGTACTCATATTCAGTGGTAACATACAATTTTCAACCGGACAATGACTCGAGAATGTTTAGATACAGTCGAATTTCCACCAAAGACGAGCCGCTGTATAAGTATAAAAGAGGGTGAATAATGTGGTAGATAATAATAATAATAATAATAATAATAATAATAATAGTTTGAATTATTTGATTGTTATTCGAAGCGAGAAAAGTAGTTTCCATAGATATAGAGAGTTCATCATTTGCATGTGGGCTGTGATACTGTCCGGGTGCCCAGACCGAAGCAGGTGGTTATCTTAGGGGGCCACTCCCCGAGCCTTTGACCTAAAGGTCTAACCCACAAGTCAGTGGAGCATCGTGAGGAGATGCAATCCCATGGTAGCCGTTGACCAACGATTGGTTCGTACGCCATTTGTTCCTTTAGGATCCTGGAGCCCATGTGCACCATTGGTTTTGGGTCCGGTTAAAGCGCCGGATATTCGCTTTTCGTCCTCTCAATTTCGCAAACAACACCCCCGCCACGAGAAGGCAGTAAGTAGGACTTCCCTGGCAGAGACTGTATATGCATGGCCGTGTGAGAGTATTTCGAGAGGGAGAGCGGACTCTCCCCACTCTCGGCCATACCAGAGCATTTGGGGGGCGTGTTACTACAAATAGTATATGACTCCGGTATTTGTATACTGTACTTCATGTCCATAACTTCGGCTTTTACCTGAATGCACTTCCGAAACTTACCTTGAAGCTAAGTCCAACTATTTTAACCAGTTGCGCTCCCCAGATTCACTGAGTTACAGTTGTCTTCGTGAGCTAATGTTAGTCAGATTATTAACATGTCCTGATACGTTCATATGCTCTGCTAATATTTTTCAACTCCGACTTCAATACAGGGAGCGAGGTTACTTTCATCCTTTTCTACCTTATCTGAATATGTCGCTTAATACAAATCCTGGTAAAACTATCGAAAGTCCATGAATAGAGTTCGTACCAAATAATTTAATGTAACAAAATTAATCTTAGTCGGTGTTGACTCCCTTTCTTCATAAGGATCGAGAGTCTTTTACGCACATACCCCAAAGGTTAATGGCAATGTTAACTCATTTACCTAATACAGGGTCACATATTTGGGTCTAATCAAACTTTTTGTTTGTAGGCCTTTAACACCACTCAGGTTCTAGGACCGAAATGTACATAAGCGGGATTTAAATGTGGGACTGGGTAATTGAAAGTCGATTCGGAGTTGTGCTCTACTTCAAACCATATAACTGACGTTGTCCGTTAATTTCCGAACAGCAACTCCCCCCATCGGCTTCTCAGGTGAAGCATAATCCGTTTTCTATCCATCATTACCTATTTCTATCTAGTGTTCACCTTTATATCGAGAGATCTTATTTGATGGATAATCAGTTTCCCTTTTTTGTGTGGATCTCGAAATTGTTTTTATTATTATTTACTATTATGACTTAGCAGGTTTAGTCCATAGGGTCATCAAAACCTTCACAAAAAAGAGACAAATGCTGGTAAGAAAATAAAAATTAATGATAATAGTAATACGTATATTAGTGGCCACTGTTAATATGTGGTCGTAAAGGCTTGAGATTTGTACTTTTCTAGTAACTCAGTCGCAAATGGTAAAACTAAAAGTAGAAAATTTAAGTTTCGAGGGCGAAAGACTCACAAAAATTGCGTTTCACAGGTGTAGAGCGAAACTGCTCACATCAAGCACTTTTAACACTAGACATGATTGACGATAGCGCTAAAAGAGTGTCATGTAGGTATAAGTCGCTCTGCGTTTCAGCATAAGGTTTACCCATCTGTCAAACTATCACTAGAACTCGTGCAGCTAGCCTGGCAATCACCAAAAGCTCACTTCTAGAAATATTCTGTGAATTTTATGAAAATACTTTCCACTACGGCCGATGGGAACTGCATAGGCTGGATTTTAATATAGATCCATGTAGGAGAGACCAGACTGGTAATTAAATATCACTAAAGTTATCGATGTTTTAAGGAATACTTAGTCAATTCTACATCATTGTTTAACTTTTGTGAGTTTGTTGCTGGAGTGATATTTCATGGTGAAATGGAGAAATGCTCTATTTTCAATCAGTTGGATCGAGTAGACTGAATATGTCTTTGGGTTACGCCATATCTATTGCATTTGGAAATACATGTGATGGATTTATTTTCCTTGTAAATGTTAATTTAAAAATTCTTAGGTATTCTTCCAATAAAAGAGTAACAATTTGTTTATAGTAGCGTAATAATACGGTGAGTGCGGAGTTTATTCTATACTTGCCATTATTTATATTGTGTATATCACAGTTCAGTAAATTGATCATACTCAAACTTACCTGGCGCTGGATTCAGGGTGGTCAAGAATGCTCTGACCCTGGGTGAAGGCGCACCATTACACCGCGGTGGATTGAAATAAGGAACCGAAAATTCCCCGGTATGGCCGAGGTTAGGGAGATTCAGCTCTTCCTCTCGAAATGCTCTCACATGGCCACATACATACAACCACTGCCAGGGAAGTCCTACTCACAGCCTTCTCGCGGCGGGGGTGTTGTTTACAAAATTGAGAGGACGAAAAGCGAATATCCGACGTTTTAACTGGGTTGGCGGACACGGAGAGTTCACATTGGGGAGTTGAAAAACCCTCATTCCAAACCAACGGTGTACATGGGCTCAAGGATCCTGAAGGAAAAAATGGCGTAGGAACCTAATGTTGATCACCGACTACAATGGGAATGCATCTCCTGACGTTGCTCCACTGCCTTATGGATCAGACCTTTAGGTCGAAGGTTCGGGGTGTGGCCCCCTAAGAAAACCACCTGCTTCGGTTTGGGCACCTAGGCAGTATCTCAGTCCTCACACAAATCGAATGATTTATGTGACGCATATCTATTTGGTGCCTCCTTGTACCAATGTTCATGTGTTTAAATCAATAAATAACTCAGTCTAGTACAAATATTTACTACTGATTTTCTGTTAAATATGTCAATCAGAAATCGACACCCAAAATCATGCTTTAAATATGACAAAGCTAATCAGTAAACAAGTTTTGTTGATGAGAAAGGTAATTGGACATTAAGATTCGCCTTTTGCCTATAAATATATCATATGTGAATGTTCGTGATGATTTTGTAACTTTTTGATTTTTTAATAAGAAGGTCAAGAGCAGGAAATACAGTATAGAAATATCTTTTTAACAAGAAAATCTGAACACTTGATAATCATAATAGCGTGATAACAGTCATTATGATATTAAATCACATACTGGACATAATAACCATACAAGGTTGTGTAACTTCTACATAAATGAGGTCAATCATTCAGCACCAGTTACTTCAATGGTAGTAATATATGAAAAAAAGATTTCGTGTAGGGATATGATACAAGGAGAAAGAATTAGATCGTAGAAAGAAAGGTATAAGGCAATTTCAATCACACGGTTTAAGAAAATTCAAGGAGCGTGTACACCAACACTATTGTGATCGATTATGAGCCATGTCACCCAGAGTCTCCAACCACTGGTTACGATAGTCACACGGACCCCAACCAAGTAGTCCGCATCTACCAACATGGCTACGACAAGAAGTTAGTGACTTCAAGGACTGATGCCACGTTTTAGTTTGGCTGCCTCTAACTTTATTGCATCCGTTCCCAACACTAGTCAGCATTGCGCGTCGTGGTAATCGGTGTTCAGGCATGCGTAACACGTGGCCCAACTATCTCAGTCGATGAGGATTCACAACCTCATCAACTGATTTACCATCATTCCTTAATACCCTGCGTCTAACCTCACTATTACTTACCCGGTGATCCCGACAGATGCGAGCAATATTTCGAAGATGTCTGTGATCAAGTGCTAGTAGATTACGAATGTCTTCTACTCTTAATGGCCATGCTTCGCAGCTGTAAAGTAAGACAGAACGAACTGCCGCGCAGTATATTCGTCTCTTAATTGATAGACGAAAATCTTGCCTTCGCCATAGGTGACGTAAGTTGGCAAAAGCCAAACGAGCTTTCTGAATCCGTGCAGAGATGCCATCAGACACCAACCCATTAAGGTTGATCAGACTCCCAAGATAAGTGAAGTTGTCAAGGTATTCGACTACTTCACTCCGTATCCTTAGTTCAGGTGTTGACGAAGGTGAGTCGTGGAGCAACAACTTGTATTTAGAGGGGTAGAAATGCATTCCAAACATTCTGGCATTGTTGCTCGGTGCGACCAAATGGCTCTGCATTTTATCAGCGTCTTCACCAAACGGGAATGTGTCATCTGTGTATTCTAGTTCGATAAGTGGACCTCCTAGAAGGAGATCAATTCCTGAAAATTCAAATGACGAAAGCGTTACTTCCAGCAGTAGGTCTATGATGAAATCGAAAAAAAAGGAGGTAGTGGACAGCCTTGTCAAACACCACTTGAGGCTGCTAAATCAGATGACAGTTTGCAATAAGCTCTGGCGGAGAATTGCATGGTGTGATTGACACAATATGTGCAGTTGAATGAGTGCGAATCAATTACTGTCCAGCCATGTCTTAATGACGAGATTTTTTGAGAAACCATTTAGCTTGCCCATCGCCTCATGAAGGTCAGTCAGATTGTTTTTTTCCTTATGGTCCATGACGACCCATCCCCCTAACGAGGTGTGGATTCTTAAGGGGCCTCAACTTCCGAAGCATGACAAGTTAAAACACTCAAACGACTTGCCCCTTGCTCTTTTTAATGAATCCAGCGATCGTCTGGTGAGCTAACTGACTGGTTTGTCTAGGAAAGTGTATGAAATAAACATTAATCCAAAATTTTGGGATAAAGCAACCGTCGTTACTATCTTTAAAAGTTACCTTCTTCATCTATGTATCAACTGTCGAGGGATAAATCTACTTTCGATTTCCTTCAAAGTACTGGCTTCTGTCATACTACACAGATTGTTGAAAACTCATGCAATACTGAGTCGTGAGACACCAGCTGGTTTACGGTCGGCTTATGGGTGTATTGATTAGTCCTCACATTTAATCAGATGTTGGAACTCTGCCACACATTGTGAGCCAGCATTCGTTGTATTTTTTGATATCAGGCTCACCTCCGATTCGTTGAGCAGGATTGTACTCTTACATTTTTTGTTGAAAAAAGTTGTGCTTGGGAGGTTTATTAACATCTTTAAGTTTCTGTACCCAAACATTTCAGACATACAATCACCTTTGTTCATTGTCCCGCTCCAGAAGTGGAGTTGGGGAGGACGTCGCAATCTCACCAGTCCTCTTCAAGTTTACCGTCGATGACATTGCAGAAACTGCTCTGATGGAAGTAAGTGATACTGATGTGGATCTGATACCTAGTAAGACTTTCGGATCTTGAGTATGCGGATAATATTATTTTGTTGTGCGATGATACTCAAACTATGTAAATCACAATTAATCAGTTGACAATTGCTGTCCTTAGGTATGGTATGTACTTTGCACCTTGGAAGCGCAAGGTATTTTTAATAGACTGATAGGAGCATGTTCGTGCACTCACTTTTGGCTGTGGGCTGTTAAAAAATATGGAAACGTTTGTTTATCTAGGTAATTTCTTGATTTCTGATGAAACAATACGTGTTCGGGGGAATTGCCGACGATTTAGTTGATGTCGTTTTGAAGCACCAAATTTAATAGCCTCGATAGGTGCTACGAATATCATCCTATTGACTTACACATCGACCATTGGTTACCGACCCTAAAATGGAGTTTAAAAAACAGTGGTAAGTTTGTGACATGGCGCCATTGTATGGAAGAAAGCTGTGTAAGACTAACCTGTTGGTTCATTGCGACTTCATGATTGATATTTTTGAAAGAGTGAAACTGGTTTAAGACGTTATTAGACATGACACAAAACAGGGCCAGTCAGTGACAATCCTGTCATAACTTTCCTCTATGTTCATAAAAAAAATGTAAGAAACTCACTATTAAAGAAATATTTCTAGTTTTATTCTGATTGAACCATTTCCCCCATTATTTACTACTTTTGTCCACTCATTTTTATTCATTGACTTGTTTTTAATTATACCCCTTCCCCTGTCATTTTCATTTCCTTTATTGTGGCGCATATTTTCATTAATGCCCATTTTTACCGGTATTTTTGTACATTGGAATCGTTGGGTGGTTTGGTTGTTAAGCTTTTATCGTCCTTCTGAGTAACATCATTAGAATGATAAAAGAAGCTTCAAAACCAAAGTATCCGGCTTAGAGATCATAACTCCAGCATCCTTACCGTGAGCTACAAATGCCCTCAATCATCTCATATTTGTGTATCAAATCAAGGTTTGTGAAATCGGTCCGGTCAATTAAATGTTCGGTAATCTTACTCCTAACCACTTTCTTCTCACCATTGTAAAACTAAACTGTAATGTTGTTGTGTACGTGTCCTAACTACAGTCTACGTCCAATATGCATTACTCAACTAGAGCAAGAAGACTGGTAAATGCACCTAGATGCAATTGGATGTGATGACTTAACTTACCGAGTGCACAAAAAACAGTTTCCGATTTGTAAAAGTTAGTCGAAGCTTAGCTAGACAAAATGCTTTCCTATGAATAAAAAAAATAGACTCAGAAATGGTTGTAGTTTTGAATAGTGTCGCTCAACATAGGTTGTAGTGGACTTTGTCTACAATATACTTTTAAAAATAGGATTTGTTTACTTTTTGTTATTTTAATCAACAGAGATCATAGAACGCGTCGTCATATTTCATACAGAGACGATAAATCTCTTATCGGTACAGCGCGGTATGCTAGTCTTAATTCCCATGCTGGTATTGAACAATCTCGAAGAGATGATATGGAGTCTCTTGGTTACGTTTTAATGTATTTCCTCCGTGGTAGTCTACCATGGCAAGGACTACAAGTAAGTATGTAATTTCAAATTAGTATCTATTTCGTTATTTTCTTTCCAAGGCTTTTAAGATTTGGTTTCTGTTTTTTGTACTATTATCTTAAAAGATCAGTATAAACTATTACGCTCTACTAAAATGCTCACACACATACGTACAAATGCATTCAAAATACGAATAATCAGATAGAATTATAAGTACATATATTTATAATTAGATAAATGAATCACTGAACTATCAAATACTAGTGTTAAAATTTTGCAATAACTTGAGTTGCACTAGCTTGGTTTGTAAATTCTGCACAAATTTGAACTTTTGCTATAGTAATTTTAATATTATTTATTCTTTTCAGTTTCCCAATTTGTTGCGAAAATTCTTACTATTTTTTTGTACTGGTAAAGTCTATGTAAACATAAAATATACTATTTCATCGGTATTTTTAGCTTCCACTTATGAAGATAACCAGTAAGCAAGTGTTAGTTTATATATATATACTCAAATACTGAAAGCGGAGTCCTGGAGTCGTTTGACAATTTATCCAAATAAGTAATACACTCACGATTTGTGTTGCTGTTATTTGATCCCCAGTTTTTAAAATACTATGATACTCCCATTAACCTTAAGTCAAACTCACGGTCTTTCAAAAATTTATTTAGGTTATTTGTCTTTTTTGAGCTTTCTGCTATGCATACTAAAAGCATTCGATGAATATTTGTTTGATTTTTTTCAAACAATTATCAAACATAACAAACAACAATGCCTACTCTATTTGTGTGATGCATCTCTTCCAAGTTGTGATCTCATGCAGAGTAGTCACTTGTACTGATTTATATTTGGGAGGTAGAATGGTGTCCACACTGTTAGTATTGTTTCAGTAAGTATTTACTAGCATTTTTCGTTAGAATGATGTTATTTACCTTAAAATATGTGAGAATAGTGACACCAGAGATTACTCCGGTGTTTTTTGTAAAATTTTACAAATAAACCATACTTTCATGAATATAAGTTAAGGTAAACACACTACATTTTAGAAGTCTGCCGAATACTTATATAATACACTGAAAAATGTGATCATCTTCCTTTGATATCTTGATAAATTTCTAATTTAACTTGTTAAGCTTAACATGTAATACACAGTAAGTTATGAAACTCAATTTGTTCATATAACAGTGGAATATGTGGAGTGATAAGAAGTGATTAGGCGTGAGATCATAGATTAATTCAGCATGATACCTCTTCAGAATAATATTCGAGTATATTCTGCTAAGTTCTGTTATTAGATATTTCAGTATAATATTCGGTTGTATTTTGACTGTTCCTGTTATTCGTTCATTTATCATGATACTCGTTTAATTTATAATTATTTAAATATAAATAATAACTACTGAAAAGAAAATTTGAGTGTACAAAAGTGGTATTTTTCCCTAAAATGTATTCTTCGCAGTAACAGGCCAGGCTTTGTCTCCTGAATCCCAATGGCTCAGTGAGATATAGGGTCTTGGGGGTAGCAATCATATTTATTGTCGGTTCGAGTAATATCAATGCAAATCCGGCTTTCCGATTATTGTACAAAATTGACTCGGTCATTTCAACTGGTGACGTTATTGGTGTTATTAATCTACAATATCTATATTTTTGGATGATCTCGAATCTATTTTACAACTGAAGCAGGCTCAAAATAAAGCCAACCAACTGAAGCTTCTCGAATCATTGATGCAGAAATTGTCGATCCATTCCACATCAGCATCTTCATCTTACAAATGTGAAAATACTGTTAATTCTACCATTGTATGTGTATCTAAAATATAGAGGAAGTTATTAAATGATGACTGTCAATGGTATTGCTTACAATGTTGTTCTCAGTGTCAAACTGTTATTCTCTTATTTTTTATTTAGTTTTTACACTACTTGAGTTGTCGAATTACGAACCATAAAGATAAATATTGCATGCATTAGTTGTTTGTGCGATACTTTTTATCACTGAATTGTGATTCTTAAAGGTGAAAAACTCTCAAACTTCACAGGTTTTTATGTATCGATATCTTCGGAGTATTATTCACGTCTAGTACGATTATGAAACTTAGGATATTATGTGTGAGTATGGAACTCTAAGCAAAGATTTATGAACTTTTTCTACGTTGGCTAGTCTATTCGTTGCATAGAGCAAGATACTAATTGCTTTAGTACTTAATGCTAGCTAATGTAGTATTAAGTTTGAAAATCACCGAGGCTGAACGCACCAGGTTATGGCACCATTCCATACAAATTTGGTTGTTTTGACATTGGTGTCTTCAATGTTATCCACGAGATAACAGAAATCAATGACTAACAATCAGTGTGTAATAATGAGTCTTTTCTGTCCTCTTTACTTCCTTTAAATACCTTTTTACTTTCCCTCTCTTCACTTTCTCTGTTTTCTTATTTTATTGTTCTTTCATTGCTGTTGACTTCCTCTTTTTGTGTTGTTACAATGTTTGAGTTCAAACATATACAGATCAGTCTACTTATTAACTTGGTATTTGAATCTTTTAGCAGTACAGTCAGAATATTTCCATTGAGTTATTATTATCTCAGTTGCCTTTAATATCATATCGCAGTCCTAAGTGTTCATCAGTATCAATAAATCCATCTAAATACTTAGATGTACCTAATATTAAATAAATGATATTTGATAGGTTAAACGATGAATATAATCTTGCAGTATTCTTGTGTTGATTTATAGCAACTTACTTCCCAAACTTCATAATTTATTAAATTACTTGAATGTAGTATTTGTAAAATTGAATAGTGAATAACAAGGTCTTCATCTATTGATTAGTGTATGCTTTGAGCTTCAATACACTGTAGCGTTATTTATCTGGGATGCCTTATTACCTCCTCAAAAACACAAGTAGAAATTATATCTTGATAAACAATCGTATATTAGATTAGCTAGATATGTAATTATACGATTTAATTGTCTTTATTATGAGTTCTTTGAAGCATTAGGGCGATTGTCACTTCTCGGTTTCCGATACGCGGAAGAATAGTTCTTCTCCAGTTACTTGAAAAATAGTGGTGGGAATCTAGAAGTGTGACCGTAGATCTAAAGAAACAAGTGGTTAAAACCCGTCACACACGACCTTTTTAGAGTAGTTTTAAATGAATTAGCTCCAGACTTATTGTTGTAGATGGTAATCCTTGGGACCTTTCCTAGCCTTCTCCTTTCGTTATGGGAAAACAGCATCTCTGTAGGCGTTGGTTGTCTGAAGGAGGCACCTTAGTAGCACTACACCTATATTCAATTGGCAACATAATTCCCATTTCAGACCATGAGTTCTGGTGCTCTTAGTTTCCAACCAACCTGATTGGCGTGGCAGGACCCAAATAAACGAGTGTCCCATCCGATATTATCTCAATTAGGTTACCACGATAAACGAGCCGACCATCACGTCACGGTAGGGACTATGGTCGGCTTCTGGTATACTTTACTCTTGATAATTGTGTTGTTGAATCAAAGTCAATGTATTTTGTCTGCATAGTCAAGTATTGGTGTGATTCAAGGTATATATCACACAAATATGTGGATTATTATTAATATATATCCCATTATTTCAGTTGCTCAAATTATTTAACTGTATCCAGTTAAAGGTCTTTTGTTTAAACGTATATAGTGATCAACCAGTATTACTTCAATAAGTCGGATAGGATATTGAAGAAAACTGATTTGTTTAGTGATTACTCGAAAAATCAGTAACTTATGCAGATTTCACTAACATCAGACTATGAACCACAATTTTAATTTCAATTGCTACATGTGTAGGGTACTCAATTTTTTGGATCTTGATAGATGACATGGGCTAATAAATTAACGTCGGACTCCTAAAAACCAATGATAAAGACGGTTACACATCTCTTTATGTCTTCATACCGTGTTCGTGTATTTTTCGCACTGATTTTCCGCTATATCCAACATATTTATTGATAGTAAACTGCATTTCAGTTTTACCTTTCTTCGTTTATTCTTTTCATCCCCCTTTTTTATATTGCGAAGTTGCACAACGGTAATTTTCTCTTTTCTTAAAAGGCTGGCAACAAACCACAGAAATATGAACGAATACATGAAAAGAAAGCTAGCACACCAATTGATGTATTGTGCCGTGGTTATCCTTCAGAATTTCTTGTTTACCTGAGTCATTGTCGTGCTTTGCAATTCGAAGAAACACCGAATTATGGTTTTTTGCGGAATAATTTTCGTAATCTCTTTCGATCTTTATCATTTGTCTGGGATTATGTGTTTGATTGGACATTGTTACGTCAGAAAGCGTCTGCAATTGAACACCACCAACAACAGCATCAACAACAACAATCATATCCTCTTTCACAGTTTACTTCTGGTAATGAAGGTTGCGATCATCGTGCTCCTACTGCAGAAGCACTCGGCACAAGAGGAACTGGGACATCCGGTGGAATTATTCCCCCTGGTCAGAAAACCAGCACAAATGTTGCTGCTGCCACATCGGTAAAGGAGTAGTATATACATACATATATACATATGTATATAAGATCTCGTTACATACATAATATTTTACGTTTGAGCTCATCCGAGTTGACAGTGCTTACAATTTTGTTTTATCTTTTTATTTTCAAAAGATGAGGAAGAAGAGTTATGCCTTCCATTTTATTTACTTTCATTCTATAAACTAATATTATTATCTGTTTGTTGTTTATGTACGTTTTGGTGGGATCTCGTTTATAGTATTCTCTAATACAGCAGCAGCTTCATCATTATTATAATTTTCTATTGTATTCACTTATGTGTTTTGCGTACACATTGATTAACAACCAATCAACTGTCATTCTTGTATATTTTAAAAATTATAATTTCTAAATATTATATTCAAATTGATAATAATAATTATAAATGTAATAGCCGTCAATTCTAGAAGGATTTATCACTTTTTCCATCAACTACATAAATGCTGGATCTACTTGTTTCCTTTTAAATGGCTGTCTAACATTCCATATCTTTTCTCTGCATGTTATAATTAAATAGGATACCGACCCGAAGTATACACGTGTGCATGTCTGTATTTGTCTGTTTGTAGGTCTTAGGTGTGCGCTTACTAGATTATTCACAGTCATGCGTATACCATATTAGCTTCTACCAGGAGTTAATTTGTATTCATTGATTTTGCTGTATTATTTCCTAGTAAAAACTGTCATACTGTGACGTGTTGTATTTTGTGCCTGATCTAACAAGTCCTCTTTTGTTTGATTTCTAATCCTTTCTAAGTGACGTATTCAAGTGTTAGCTTAATTTTAGAATTCTTGATATGTTATATTTTCCTAACGTGTTCACACTAGTGATCTGTTTTTATTCCCTTTTTGTATAGTTTGTTGTTGTTCTTATTGCTGCCCATCAAGTTTTTGATTGTTTCCCATTAGTTTTCTTGGTTTTATTGAAGGAATTGGTAGTTTTTTAATAATTATTATCATTTCTCACTTCGTATCAACTATTTAAATAGGAAGGAATTCATGATACTGAAGCGCTTTATTTATCCTCTTCACACTTATTGTTTCACTACGGTGTTGCGCATACATACTGTCATAGTGTCTTTGTACAAAATGACTCAGTATTTATTTTTATTGTAAGCAGAATTTTAACCTCTATTTCAAACAGCTTTTATATAGACAAGTTTTGTTTTATTCAGGATGTATTCAGCGATGCTGAAGTATGATTGAATGTACTTGTATATCAGTCGGTGTATAACGTATGTGTTTAATACTTATTCATGTATAAGTCAGAATTGCTCGTTTTCCTTTTACAAGGGCATTTGTATTTTCACATCGAAAATATAACTAATTAACAATGTACTTATGTTTATGTCTTTTCCCTATATTTGTTTGATTATCATCCGTCACATACAGTGGTATAATCCATATTATTATTATTATTATTATTATTATTATTATTATTATTATTATTATTATTATCTTATTGTGGGTATTGCTATTCACTGATTTAACTTGTTTTCTGCCGCTATCTTTTGCATCTCTTGATTGCGAATCGTCTTTGAAAGCAAAAGGTACTTTTATATTCAATTTTATCACATGTCATATATATATATATATATGACACAAATATGTAGACACACAGAATCACATCATCACGCATTGAATTTCTTAATAGATGCGAAGCTGTACTGGTCAGTTCGTTAATTTTTATTGACTATATTTAACTTTTGAAAAGGTGTGAATTTTGTTGTTTATCTTCTTTCCCACTGTGTTTTAATGTGTTGTACCTTTGTATATTGGGTTTATTATTGTTTTGGGTAAAGTGCCTATCTTTTTTATATGTTTCATTTTGTGTACTGTTTCGTTTTTTATCTCATTACATATAAATAATCAATCATCCAGTTTCATCGTATAAATCTGATCCCTTTTACTACATTTTTGCTTTCAATTTGGCGTTTTCTCTGCTTGCGAACATTTCGATATACGTCTATGTTGCTATTGTCATTCTTGTTTTAACTTTATCACTAGAATATTCTCTTCATCTTCAATTTTTTTTCTAAATGAAACGAATTTCAATATGATGAATATATAAATAATATTTTGTTCATTTTTTTCTGATAACGGAACAAAAGTTAGGCGAAAAAGTTGGAAACAAACACAAAAAGGTTAGACAAGTGCAAAAATTGCATACGTTTAAGAACTAAGACATTGAATGGTGAAATACTAAATTTATAACCATCCATATATTTTTATCATCCTTGTCTATTGTTAAGACAAAAACAGCTGATGTAATACAGCTTATTTTTTAGCTTTATAGGCTCTGATTTATAAATAAATAAATATTCCTTTTTTACCTAGTTATTCCTTATCACTTAGTTGGGTTAAAAATTGTGCTTAATTATTTTGTGCGTGTAAGTGATTACTAAAATTGTTTCAATTGGAGTAGATTAATTCCCCTTGTAGATCATTTATTATCATCTACTGTTTTAGGTAAAATGAAGCTATTTGGTTGTGGAATGGCGTTCTTACTTAGTACTCATTTCTCGGATGGTGAGTTCAAAAGCTTTGTTACTTCTATGTAACTGCTGATCAACATGACGTTGATGAAGTAAATAATAAAAATCTTAAGTTATGTAGTCGAGGGAACATTTTCGTCTTATAGACTGTGAGCTACAATTAACATGATATTAATCCTCTATCGAAGTACTTGTTAATTGACAAACTCGTTGAACCGCAACTTATCAGTTATTTTCATTTCACAGTTTGTACTGGATGTATTTTATCGCCCTAGTATCATTGTTTTAATCTAATTGACCTTTATTACGTAAATTCAAAATGACTCATAGGACTAAGGGGATCTGTGAAACAATATTTCTTAGTACCGATGAGTAGTTTTTCTAAATGAGGATTTTCAGTGCAGTTTTTTTCCATTGTATGTACGATGGTGTTATATACATCGTAGTTCCAAGAAATTGTGACATAACGGTTAAGGAGTTCTACTTATAGTCATTAGATCCCAAGTTGGGGCGACCGTTTAGCATCGTTATCTCTCATACTTAAGGTGTTGCTCATATCCAAATGCCTGGAGAATGGATTAACTTAAATCTTTTTTTCAAGAAATTTAAAATAAAATCTCATTCTTCTGAATTATTTTATTATTCACACACAGTAGTGGAGTGTTAGATATCTTGCAGTCGCAAAATTAATAGACACAAAATAGTCTGTTCAAGTAGTTGTATACCGCATAATTGGTTTATTTTACTCTAGTTAAGTATGCTGACCAACATTAGGATAAAATACGGCCATGTACATGGGTGGTATCCGTTATGAATTGACCTCAGTGTACTTCTGAAAAACGGAGCAACGAGGAATTGTTTCATTTCCAGTGAATTCCATCTGAGTTTGGTTTCCAGTTCATGACATTGACTTATCTATTTCATTTAGAGATAGCCTGTGTTTACTTTCAGCTGGTATTATCCATTTGAAATGCTGTTTTACTATATTGTAATGATACTTTCCAATTTTTTCTCATTAAAAGGTGTTTTATATAATCAAAATGCGTGTAATGATAGCGTATTAAGTTATTTGTCTAAGAAAACTTACACTTCCCTTGGTGGTAAGGTAAAACCAATGTGCCGATCCATAAGGTCTTTTTTTTGCTCTTCGTTTGAAGTTAACTGCTGCTTTGGGACATTCTGCATAACATTTGGATTTTTCGGGATAAATTTTGTTGCTTTTCTGAATCGGTTTCAGAACGTATGCGCAGAGTTAGTGGACCAATTCGAATGTGTTAGCTTACAATAGATTGTTAGATTAAATGCTTTGTTTAAATTTACATGGGTTGTCTAAAATTGGTTGTACATCATGTTCATTTCTCAATATGAATTTGATATATGAAATATATACTTTAGTATCCTTTCGAAAAGTTTATTTTTGTGATAAATATATCAGCTATATTTTTGAGAAAAACGTCTGATAACATTGCAAAAAGTGATAAGTTTTGTATAAATCATTTAGTAGTGATAGGCAACACGGAAGATTTTTATCTTCATTGTCTGTTTCCTTGTATGATTTATCTAACGTAAAACTAAATCAGGTTAAACACATTGATGATTCTACGCATTCATTGATGCTTAGTGAGCTCCTATTTAGTGCTTGTTGAGTTCCGTGAATAGACCACCAACAATGTATTCTTGCATAAATGTGAAGTAAAGCCAGGAAATTGACATGAATTTTCTTCTAGCGCTAAGGTTACCGTAATCGTTTCTTACCGTTACCTCTCTAGTTTTGATAGTGTTGATTATAAATCGAATACTCTTAGTTTTTGTTGGTCAGATGGTTTGTCATTTCTAAAACATTTAGTTGAAGTTGTATGTTGGTTATGTTTTACGTTCTTAGAAACTTTCATGTGTTCAAACCTTCAACCAGTAAAATTTTAAGAGTTAAACAATATTATTACGTGATAATAAAATATTTTGTGATTATTATCTTGGAAACATACTCAATTGAATGATAAGTAGCTTAACGTCCATATTCACCTGAAAGTTATCACTGATCCTACTGAGTTAACATCATTAACCGTTAAGAATCATCATATATACATCAGATTTTTTAAACTTATGATGTTTAACGCCATGAAAGCTTTTAAGCAGGTGTTTAACCTCCGTGGCTAAAACTCTAGAATCTTGTACCCTTCCACGGTGTGAGCAACCGCGCAGTGATGATTACCCTCATACCTCTAACAGCGCTCAAGATCATTGTATTAGTAATCAATCCTCCTCTTCAATTCCTATTATTCATCTTACATCGACTTCCAACACTAAACTTCCGCTTTTGGATTCCTCTTCATGTGTCACCATAGCCAACGACTCTAGTACGCAAAACACTGTCCCAGGTCTACTGGAACCTCGCTCCAAACTACACATTCGAGCCTTCAAAGTACACACACTATGTCAAACTGGTCAGCAGGCCTCCTTGGCTAAAACTCTAGAATCTCGTACCATTGATTTATGCTGTGTCGCCGGAACACACATACAGGATCCTAGTGTGGTCATTCGCCTGGCCTCCCCTCGTCAAAACGGAGAGCCGACGATATA